AAAAAAAAAAAAATGTTGTGAGTGTTGCACAGTTGATCATGAGCTAGCAGAGTTGGTTAAAGATTGGAGTAAAGTAAGAGTGAAATCCGAATCCTTAGGCTGCGGAATAATCCTGTGGAATATACTGCCAAGACTCTTGTGCCTAATCATGGCCCCCAGCACTTTATCTTCCTCAACAAAAGCGGCCTCATTTGTGTTTCTTGACGTTTTGGGCGCACTAAACAAAAGCTCAGACACTCGGTCTTTCTCCAGCTGCCTCGCGTATTTGTTCACCTCCTCCTGAATCAGCAGGCGGTACACATGAACCACCTTCTCTTGGCCTAGCCTGTAGGCTCGGCATATTGCCTGCCTCTCCACCGATGGGTTCCACACTACATCGAGCAGCACCACCCTCGAAGCCCCCACCAGGTTTATTCCTTCCGAGCACGCTCCCCTCGAAGCCAACATCACCTTAGCCCTTCCTCTCTCGTCGTTGAACGAGTCAATCAGCCTCTGCCGCTCGTTCATCTTTATATCCCCGTCCAAGTACATTACCTCCCGCCCCTCGGCCCAGGATAAATGACGTGTCACAAGGCTCATGATGTGGCGAAGCGGGGGAATGAACTCGCTGAAAACCAGAACCTTCTCGCCCAGCCCAGCCGACAGCTGGATCAGCTTAATCAGAAAACGAGCCTTCACACCAGCATCCGGGTCGGATTCGAGCCCCTCCGGCATCCTCCTCTTGTGATTCGAGAATTCTTTTCTTCCAGAAACCAGCGACGGGTGGACCGAGATGATGGATGTCAGGTGAACCTGGACGAGATACTTCTCAGATGGAGATATGTCCCCAAGTAGCTCCTTCTGCAGGTCGGTCGGTTTTAGTAGGATGAGGCAGTCCTTCAACCCGGGGAGATTCTTCTCGAGTATGCTGCCTTGGTACGTGTGGACAAAAGGCTCCATTTCCAATCGCAGCTTCTTCAGATCATCCGAATCCAACCAATCGTTGACCAACAACTTGCGCTTCCTACTGACAAAATTGGGATTGACCAAACAGAAGGTGTTGTAAAGCTCATTAAAGTTGTTCTGGAATGGGGTTCCGGATAACATCACACGCCTCTTTGTTTTCACCTTTCTTAGAGTGTTCCACATCAGGCTCTGTTCGCTCCTTGCCGTGTGCCCTTCGTCCATCACCAACAGACCCGGTAACTCGAGCAGTATTTTCTTCACCTCTTCATTGTAATTGTTGTTACTGTAATGTTCTCCAGCCAACTTCTCGAATAAACGGTAGCTAACCCCAAGAATACCCCCACCCATCATCCACAAACGCAGCTTTACCAGTCGGGTGTAGTCTTTATGATTCTCGGGGAGTAGGTTATTAGAAACAGCAGAAGAAGATTCCTGTGGGGAGAGCTTGTTTCTGTTGAGAATGTGGAATTTGATGTCATCGACGTTCCATTTCTTGAGCTCCCGTTCCCAAGTATTGAGCATGGAGAGGGGAGCTATGATGACAGGGAGGCAAGTCGGGTAGAGGCGCATGAATGTCTGCAGGAAGACTATGGTGAGACGGGTTTTTCCGGTGCCGGGAGCATGTGAGATTATGCAGCCCCTGCCCCCCTTGGCCGGAAGCCTCTCCTCCAGCTTGTCCATTCGGATGTCCCCAACTATGTTCCTCCACAGGAACTCCAAGCCTTCCAATTGGTGAGGATACATTTTCTTGTGGACATCCACAGGGATGAGGTCCAAGACTGTGCCGCCACCTCCAGAATGAACACTAGACTCGAGAGTAGTAGTAGTGGCGCAATTAGCCGAGCCCTCAACCTGGGTATCGGTGAAGTTGTCTGGATCCTCGTAGTATTTATAATGGCGACGACGATGACGTTCCGGAAGCTGCGTGGACAATATATATATATATATATATACATATATATAAGTCACACTAATTTCATGGTCAAACAGATTGGTGTGGTGAGGTGTGGATTGGATATAAATATGCTTCTACTTACTACAAAAGGAGGTAAAACGTGTTTTATATCGAGTATCACATCCTCGCAATACTGACATACGATCCCAATCTGTTCGTCCAAGACACTATCGTGAGCACAACGGCAACAGCCTGCTGGAGGACTTTCGTCTACATCTTTGATGCTTCCATCATCACTCTACCAATATATATTTATCAATCAGCGAATACAAGTTGTAAACTACAAGATGATAAAGTTAATGACGATCTGAAAGTGAATCATATTATTAGACTTACCCTTAAGCGTCCAATTTCAGATTCCCAGAGGCCCAGTTCCAGATCAAGAAAGAGAGACTTGATTTCCTTTTCCCAGTCTGCCAAAGAGGAGTCTTGCTGCTTCTGTTCATCCTCAAATTTGAACTTCAATGGCAGAGTGCTAGTTGCATTATCATCAACAGTTACACGAGTATGGATATATTTTTCTTTGAATCTTGAATCATCCACTAAATTGCTAATCAAGTCCAGTTCCTCATCAATTACAAACTGTGTCCTGGCCACCACTACTTTTCTTCTTTTTGAACCCTTCTTATTGTTCTTCGCCACATGAACTCTGTAATTACGGTTTTTGTTCCGTTTATAGTCGTCGTCGTCATCATCATCAGTGGAATCCGATTTCTTGATAGAGGAAGGCTCCTCCTCCTTCTCCTTTAAGAACTTATCTCGACTGCGACGAGGCTTCTTTGTGTTGATTTCGAGGCTTCTGTAAAAGGCGTCCCACTGGCGTCTGGTTCGCCGGGATACCGAACCCATGATGGGTTGTAAGGTGGCATCCATCTCTTTTTGATGCCCCATATTCAAATATATGGTACACTAATACTAGGTTAAGTTGACACCTTTTAATTTGAATATATAATGTATGTATAGGAAGCCCTAGGAGTTGAAGTTGAACAATGGACGGATGGAGCCTAAAACATGTATTGGTAGATGTAAAATATTAAAAACCTTTGTTCAAAAAAAAAAAAAATTATTAAAAACCTGAAAAAAAAAAAATATATCATATATATATAATACTATAGTTATATGTGTTAGTTATATAAAATGTATTATTGTACTATAGGCTATAGGCTAGGTTTAGTCTCAACTTAGGCTAAGGTCCTTCTATGTATCTATATATATGTATATGTCTTTGTGAATAATAGTAGTTGGGTTACGCCGTGCACGCACGGCAGACTTAAATTCAGTATAAAAATACACTGAAAATTTGTCATCACTTGTTGCAGCTCATATTTTGGCGTCTGTGGCAGCTGTTCACATATATTATGCTTGTTCAATTGACAATGTTTGAAGATCTTTTCTCATATTATTGCTACTAGTACAACACCCGTGTTTTACACGGGTGCTTGCTAATTATTTTTTTTCTTAAAATCTAAAATTAATGAGAAAAAGTAGTTTGAAAATTTAAATACCTTTTATAAGAATATATATATTATTATATATATATTATTACACTTTTTATTTGTGCAACTTACCTGTGTTATATTTTACTAATTTTTTTTTTAAATTACAATATAGAACTACATTACATATAAATATATCAATTGAGAAATAATTTTATTTTCCTAATGAATTTAATAAATAATTATTATTTATTATTATAAAGATAAATATAATTTATTTATTTCATATATACAATATGGATGTCAAATCGAAGATCATCAAAAGATGATTAATTTGATATATTATATATGTAAAACCGATAGGAAATACAAAAATTATCAACTTTTAAAATACATTTATAATTCAATAGCTTATTGAGGGAAACAAATCAAAATTCAGGGATATATTAGTCACTTAGTGCCTCACTATGTAAAATTACAAAGAATTAAAGGGTTATATTAGTAAAAGTGATATTAAAATACCTAAGTTAGCTAAATAATATTTATGGAATACCCGAACCTAGATTATTAGTTATTAATATATCAATATTATTTATCCAAACCTAATTACGAAGCATGATTCTTCGCCAAATAGGATTTCGAAGCACCAGAAGAAGCCACGTAGGCTCAGCGCATTCGGGAATTATATATAGGGAGGATTATCTGCCACTCATATTCAAACAATTGTTAAGCGTCATTGATTAAACACTAAACCCGTACATCCGAAGATACATGTTACAATTCACGGTCTATTTTCCAAAAAATAAAATAATTTACAATTTTTACGATAGCACCCCTTTTACAATTCAACGGTCTATGCCAAAGAAATTATTCTTTTAGATTTCCACTCAGAATTAAAAAAGCAAAAAAGAAAAATATATATATTATTTATATATATATGTTGAATTTACATACCATCATATTTATATATATATTTTTAAAACATTGTTGTTAATTTAGATACAAATAAAGTTACGTTGAATAAATTTTGACAAAATTTGACTTTCATAAACTATCTGAATAGACTTGTAATTCTTGCACAATTTAATAACGACAAAATACTTGGCTGCAGATTTACACAATGTTTTCTTATGTCCATATTGAGGCTTAAAATTAATATTCTTATGTTGTTTGCATATCGCCGACTATAATTTTATCTTTATTCAGTCTGTTAATTTTGTTAATTAATTGATAATTATTAGTCATAATTTTATACTTTTTGTTTACATTTGTTTTTTTTAATAAACTATTGCATTAACATGAGCAGTAAGGTACACCACATTAGAACGAACTATAAAACCCTCTAAACCACATAAGAACGAACTATAAACCCTCTCTACATTAATTGTACATAATATGTATTTTAACTTCTCACTTTTTGAATGAAATTTTCAACTACACATGAAGTCTCTAATTTTTACCACGACAAGCGCTCTCTAAAGCTTGACAAAATGCTACATTATGCACAAAATTTTCTAAAAAGTTGTATCCTTTTCAACACTACTTGTAACAAAATAATTTTTCACCGACCTCAGATTTTTGGGTACTTGTTGCAGCTATTTACACATTATGCCTGTAAACTTCGCATTACCTCAAAATCCGTTTTCATATCTCATATTATTGCTATTATTCTCCATATTTTCTTTAATGTCACTAAATTTTATATAAATGTAGTCGACTTTATTGCACGACAATTGAACGTCAGATTATCCAAATCTTTAGCCACAAATGTAAAGAAATAACTTCAAATGTCATAATATCCAAAGGAATATTGATTATTTAGTTATTTTTTTCTTCCAATGCATCCTAAAATAATTTTTACTTTGTAAATCATTTAATTATTTTTCTTAGATTCATAACACCAACTATTATTCGACAATTATCAGTACTAAAATAAACTATTTTTATTCTTTATGATTGAAGAATTGCCGACAAGATAAATCATTGTGGCATACTCAATAATACAAGGTGTAAATTTCAAAATAAAAACCAGAGGCGAACTGCTATCAACTTGATCATCTTTCCCCTGATCTCTTCCTCATCAACATCATCGCCAGTGAAACCATCTTTCTCGTACTCATCTTATCCTACTACTCAACATACAACAGGAGTTCCCATCAACAAACACTAATTTGCCTCCACTAAATAATTATTTGCATTGTTTATCAATATGATATCACAATTCAATATTTTAATAGAAGTAAACCTATAATAAAAGGAATAATACATTAAATCTTGTGGGGAAAAAAGGATGTTCATGCCATAAAGAAGTAACGGATATGAAATTGTTTTAAGTTAGAAAAGTAAATATTTACACTACTAATTAAACAATCATAAAAAAAAAAAAAAAAATCAGTTAATTTCTGTCATACAATTGGATAACTGATAAAACAATATTTATATAATTATACCAAACTCACCTTTCATACTTAAGATCGTACATCAAATACCTTCTTGCTCATGGGTCCTTCAAAGCAAAGCATGCACGGATCAAAATCAGTACACTGCAAAACAAAGATGAATGAGTCAATCGTCAAGGATTTGAAACTATTGATAATAACGATTTTTAGGGTCATTAGCTGAAAGTTGAAATGTACTAATCAAGGGTTCCATGGCTGACAATTCAACATACTAAATACAAAGGTACAAAAGAAAAAATAAAGTTAGAGTGGTGCAAAAACAGTGACATCAAAAGAGTGATAGAAAATATCCAGAATGTAATTCTTTATATATTGCTTATATTCTAAAAGATAAAAGAAAGAGAATCTCTAAAGCTATCCTGTAATGGTAGAAACGAGCATTTTTCATTGTCAAAGATTCAAATCTCTCTTTGAGTCCAATCCCAACTAACCCTCATGCTATTAAATTTTTTTGCCTGTACCGTCAATTAAAACAAAACATCCACCATAATACTAATAGCAAGGAACTTTCTCTTCATTACTTCATTCATTCCAAACGGGCACATCTCATCAATTAGCATAAAACCATATTTTCTCCGCCACAAATGTGGTCAAACATATCATAATTATGCACCTCACTCACCTTCATTCAATTTATCAAAAAGAAATGAATATACATGTTCATATTGCCACTATATTTTGATAAGCTTCTACTTGCTAACTAATTAAGTCCACATCTCTCCAGTACTAAGATTATATACTAAATTTCCCTTAAATGGCATCCTCTTGCCGAAATCTATTGTTTTTGTCGGAGTATTTTTATTCTCACTCACACCCCTGATATTAATAGGAAGGCTGGCTATGGTGCCTCGGAAAAAAGTCGGAATAACATTCACTGACGATTGACCTGCTTATATGTATGAAGAATAAAGATCAGAACATGAAAAGCAATACAAGAAGTATAGTTATGCTGGTAAAAAAAAAAAAAAAAATACCAAACACCTCATAAAAAATTCCCAACTATCTGGTTCTTTTACTCAAATGTTCAGTGTCAGCACATGGGAATTCAACGGAATTTGCTGGTGGTGTCCTTGGGTGCTTAAGGGCAGGCTGCAGAATGCAACAAATTCTTATGCCAATTTAGGCAACTTGAACCTCACCAAGCATTACATTGAAACAACTCCTAAGAGGTGTTTCTGTACATTCATGATTATGTGCCTCATGAATAATCAGGAAAGCAATTAGGCATTCACATTGTCCTTTTAAGAATTTAGGGGAATCTATGAACTGCCTAACCACCCAAGTTTAGAGAAAATCTGTCTATTTGCGTTTCTTGATGTAATAACTTCTATTTTCAACACCATTCCACAAAAAAGACAGAGAAGTGCCTTTCTATACACTAATACACAAAAAATCATACCTACCACACACAGAAGAAACCATCAGAGATGGTGATCCATGGTGATCCACCAGGAAAGAACATTGACACGCTCTCACTCAATATCACCCTTAGGGCTCTCTTTTATCTTGGAATGGGCTGGATATAGATACATCTGGATATTAGGTATATGTTAGGAAATATCTGAATATACTAAAGCAATACGCATACAAGCACCTTTTTCCATTTTATCATGGAAAGGATAACATGTAATTCCTAATAACAGTCCTTGTTAAAAATATATGAACTAAATTTCTAGAATAAACACTTGGCAAAGTACAACATGCTTTAACAAACAGGTACATAATTTCATCAAAACCATCTCCTGTCCACTTTCATAAACCCACCAGCAATGCAAGTTTCACATGCTCATGTTCTTGCCCAAAGTAGAATTTTGATATACAAAAACCATAAGAATCTCTACCTGGAATCGGTGCTCGGTGGAGCACCAAGACCAATAGGCCCACCAGAAACCGCAGGATGACTTCCAATGGGTGGATTAGACATAAAACTGGGAAGAGGGGGACAGGTGCCGGAGCAGGCTGGAAGGGCTGACCACAT